CTCTAGCCCATACCTCACCGAGGACTCTAGCCCATACCTCACCGAGGACTCTAGCCCATACCTCACCGAGGACTCTAGCCATTACCACACCGAGGACTCTAGCCAATACCTCACCGAGGACTCTAGCCCATACCACACCGGGGACTCTAGCCCATACCACACTGGGGACTCTAGCCCATACCTCATCGGGGACACTAGCCCATACCACACTGGGAACTCTAGCCCATACCTCATCAGGGACTCTAGCCCATACCTCACCGGGGACTCTAGCCCATACCTCATCAGGGACATTAGCCCATACCTCACCGAGGACTCTAGCCCATATCTCACCGGGGACTCTAGCCCATACCTCACCGGGGACTCTAGCCCATACCTCACCGAGGACTCTAGCCCATACTGTACCACACCGGGGAGTCTAGCCCATACCTCACCGAGGACTCTAGCCCATACCTCACCGGGGAGTCTAGCCCATACCACACCAGGGACTCTAGCCCCTACCTCACCGGGGACTCTAGCCAATACCTCACCGAGGACTCTAGCCCATACCTCACCGAGGACTCTAGCCCATACCACACCGGGGACTCTAGCCCATACCACACTGGGGACTCTAGCCATTACCACACCGGGGACTCTAGCCCATACCAAATTGGGGACACTAACCAATACCTCACCGGGGACTCTAGCCCAGACATCACCGGGGACTGTAGCCCCTTCCTCACCAGGGACTCTAGCCCATACCTCACCGGGGACTCTAACCCCAAACCTCACCGGGGACTCTAGCCCCTACCACACTGGGGACATTAGCCCATACCTCACCGGGGACTCTAGCCCATACCTCACCGGGGACTCTAGCCCATACCTCACCGAGGACTCTAGCCTATACCACACCGGGGAGTCTAGCCCATACCTCACTGAGGACTCTAGCCCATACCTCACCGGGGAGTCTAGCCCATACCACACCAGGGACTCTAGCCCCTACCTCACCGGGGACTGTAGCCCCAAACCTCACCGGGGACTCTAGCCCCTACCACACTGGGGACATTAGCCCATACCACACCGGGGACTCTAGCCCATAACTCACCGGGGACTCTAGCCCAGACCTCACCGTGGACTGTAGCCCCTATCAAACTGGGGACTCTAGCCATTACCACACTGGGAATCTGCCCAAACGTTTTCTGGGGGAGTGACCCCCAATATTTTCAAAATAAATGAATAATAGAACTAATTGTAATATGTGCATAAAATGAAAGAATAAGATAACTGATGATCATAGATTATTGTTTACAATGGTGAAAAGGTGCATTTTTGGCCTAGTTTTGTAAGTACTTTGACTATCTCAGTTTAAACAGCACTTCTGGCTAGGCCAAGATGTAGCGCCTGTTTGTATTCTATGACTAGGCCCGTATACTATAACCATCTGTATTCCATAGGGAGGTTCAAATCTGTCTCCAGCCTGTGGGCAGACCCACACATTTCTAGTCGCGATCAGACCCACACTGGTTCCTCCCTACAGGCAGCTCTCAAAGTAAATCTAGATTTATGCAAAAAATATCATAGATATATAGAATTTACGTAATCTCTAACATGAAATGGTGCACATACGTCTGTGAGTAAATTTATGGATAATCTTTTCATTTATTTAATATGTGTTCTTTAGTATGAACTAGTACAAATATATTTTTGGCTAATGTGTTTTTGCTATAAGGTGCCGTGAATGGTATGGGATGGTAAATCCACGTAAAATTTGATTTACGTAAGGCTTTGTGAACCGGATTTCTTATTGTAGTCAATTTTCTTTTGCTAAATGCTCTGTTGCTACTTTTTTCATATCTCGGTAATAATATAAAATTATATTGTTTAACATCAAAGAGTGCATCTAGCATCTCCTTTGGAAGCCTCACCAAGGGGATTAATAGGATGTTCTATTCCGGAATTTTTTTGTTATTTTTCTCCTTCAGCTATTGATGGCTGGATTCACTCTTTTTTAATTTTTCCGCGCTCTGGAGCACACATTGCCAGGCTATGATAAGCTTAAGGAGAGAGGAGAGAAAGATGGAGGGGGGGGGAGAAGGAAAGAAAAAAATGTCTATCAAAGACTTTAAACCTTTGCTTCAAACCGTGTTCAGATAATGAAGCTAGCAGTATGTCTTTGAAAGGGACTAGGAATAATTTCTTGTTACAGAGAGGGTTCATGACTCTTTGTGTACGTGTAAAAGAGCGAGAGGAGCAGTACGCCCCGAGGCAACTGGTATAAAGTTAAACTGGGTGAAGTAGAAATATTTTACTCATCAGCTTTGCAGTCACAGAGTTTGCCTCGACTAGAACAAAACTGCTGAAGCATTTAGAGAAAATTAACCCCCCATCCTGGCAGCCAGATGTGACTGGATTCTGATGAATGCACATGAGTGGGTGAAAAAACCAAGAGACTGTGAAATTCCTGTCAGGCCCGTAGACTGCAGAATGGGCTATTGACTGCTTTCTCTATTTCCCTCCATCATTCTTCTTGAACACTGCCATTAATTTCCTCTCCTGCCCTGGCGACATCTTTCTCCCCCCTCCTCTCCCCGCAGCTTTCTTTGTTGCAGAAGAGGACGCGCACAGCCCTGGTAGACCACTTCAGACGACGCAGCCTCCACAGCCGGGCTGCACTGGCCCTCTTCCAGGCCCGCTCCAGTGACAACGACCAGAAGATTGCGAGCGTGCAGGTACACAGACTGGCTAAAGCTACGAGCCACCAGTGCGATATTTAAATGCACGCATGGAGATTCGCCCTCGCATTGTTCTTTATTCACAGGAAACCCATAAAGCGCTGAAAGCATTCGTAACCCTGCGGTAAATATTTAACTTTTTTCCGGCACATGGTACGCCCAAGCCTTTCTCTCCTTGCAGTGACCTATGCAGCATGTCTGTTCATGGGTGGAGGCTCCCCTGAGCAGTGGTGTGGAGAGACTGCACGCCACAGCAGCACCCCCACCCCGGCGGAGACGTCACCGCTGCTGTAGGGCGCAGTACAGCAGCATCCCGTTCTCTCTCCTTCTCACATCAATGAGTGGCGAGATTAATGTTCTGTGGGCAGGAGTGCTAATCCTGTGACCTAGAGTTTGAGTGGGAGCTTGCTCTTAAGGTACATACACTTGGTTAGTCCATGCCTGGCCATTTGTCAAATTCGCTTGGTCTGCGTGTTCGTGGCTCACCTTTTAGGACGGACTTGCATGTTGTGTGATATTGATTTGGCTCCGGCACGTCGTAAGGAAAGCCCCGGCAGTATTGCTACTCATGCTGGTGAACTATTCTTATGCTGATTGGTGCAAGTTTAATAATTACTGATCTACAACAGCTATTTGAGCATCTGGACATCGGATCTGTTGTGTATGAGGAATATAAATCCCCTGAGAGCGTGTTGATTGACATCAATTTGCAGAGTGATGAGATCAGTATACACATCTATGAAAACATAATAGGTACCCACAGCATGGTGTCTAGCACAGCTGTCATTTTACATAGTATAAACAGTTATGATATCATTTTGCTCAGCTCTGAAATCACTATAAATGGCCAGAAGATTCACGTATAAAGCCACATTATGTTTAGTTATGACATCAGAATACAAATCCTAGCTATCAGTCAGGATTAGTCTAAACAGAGCCTTTTAACAAGAAACTAAGCATCATTTATTCCTTTTTACGATAAGTAATTTGCAAAGAGTCCTATCCTAAAAAGAAATGCATTTGTTGTTGCAGAAAAATATCAAATGCACTTCAAAAATAATTTTGAAATGTCTAATGAAGTGTTTTTTGTAAAGACAGTCGTGCACAACTTTGATAAGTATGTTTAATTATTTGTAATTATAATTATATATACCTTCAGTCATGTATTTATACTGGCATTATTTGTACCATTTGATACTGACAAAAATTACATGCTGAAGTCATGGACCCAGAAAGGCAGAATTGAAGTATCGTCCTAATTAAATCAGCAACACAGATAAGGACATAAAAATACCATAAACAGTGTTAAATATTGTTAAGCCATATTTCTTGTGTTGTAATTTGATCAAAGACATTTTCTGTACTAAGACAAAACAAATCTTGTAAACAGCTAGTAAACAGTGAATGTTTGCATTTATTTTGTGGTGACGGAATGACAGAGTAGCTGAAGAAAACAGAGTTTGGATGCTTGGCTTATGGAGCAGCAGATGCCTTAAATGGTCAGCCAAGTACAGACCTCATTTGTGATCTGCATGACTGCTGACTGTGGGATTCTGCAGCTCACATAAAGGAGCACACAAAACATAGCTGCTTCACAGAGCATCTGCAGGCTGAATCCAGCGCAAAACAGCGGAGTGTTTTTGTCTCTAGCTGCCATTCTGATTGAGCCAGTTAATCAGAAATTGATTTAATGAAGTTTTTACAAATTTCTTTAGTAGCCCTTCCAGACAATTAAAAAAAAAGGTAGTTTGTCAAACTGTAAATGAGAAAAAAACTCATTATATACCTCTTAAAATCATGGGTGTTTGTTTACCGTGGCAGCGAGTGAATAAATCTGGATTGTAACAGGTTGCTGATGCAAACTGTTATTTACTGATATAGAAAAAGAGCCAGGCAAGTGTAATACCGCAGGAACGGACATCTAAGGCAATAAACATAAAACCATAACACCACAATTAATTATATGAGGTTAGGGCGTCAGCATTGACTGTTAAATTTTCAAGCCATTCTGTTGTGAAGATCTGGATCAATATACTTATTGCTAAGACAGACTGAATATGTATGGTTTTATTGTTCAGTTGCTCTATTAAATGGGAATGAGAAGGTTATGTTGAAGTTTGTACTTTTAACAATTCTTGGTAGATGAATCAAGCAGCATCTTATGAAAGGAGTAATCAGCAAGTATATACTGGTCCAAGCCCATTTGGAGTTCTACCCCTGTAAGGATTCCCTGTAGACTGCCATCAAATTAATGATATCCACAGCCACTAACTGTACTAATATGCATCTGCTCGTGTTAACTAGACAATTCGTCTGCATCATTTAATGCAGAAATTGTAAGAGTGGTGTTACACACCAACTCAAATCGGCATATGTGTATGCAACTGGGCAGATTACTCTGTGATCATACAATTTTACACTTTATTTATTTAGCAGACATGTTCATCCAACATTACAAAGTACAATTGGGGGTTAAGGGTCTTGCTTACGGACCCAATAGTGAAGCTATCCTGCTGACCTGGTGATTCAAACCAGCGACCTTCTCGAGGGGCAGCATCCAAGCCCGCTGAGCCACCCTCTGCGCCGCCGTATTGCATGTTAGCGTGAAGGTTCAGTGGGGAGCAATGCTGCCTCACACATCCATGGTTGGGTATTCAAATCCCACCTTTGCTCTGTGTTCATGGAATTTACAGTTTGGGCAGTGTGTGGCTCTTTGGGGTGGGACTCCATGCCCATAGTGCAAGGTCACTGGCTTGACTCCTGTGATCAGTAGAGTGATTTCAGTTTTGGGTCCGTGAGTTTGCCCTTGTACCCCAGTTGCTCCAGGAACTATCAGATCGTGCTTTTTCAATTGGATGTCACATTGAATAAAAGCATCTGCTAAGTAAGTAAATGTTCTTTATGTTAAAATGATATTATCTCATGTTGAGCTACGAAACAGGGATGAGTTTTTGCTGACTTATACTGCTTGATTTAGTTTAGTCACTGCAATAACACCGAATCCATTGTATTGTACACAAGATTCATTTACATTACATTATTTTAGCAGATACTTTTGTCCAACAAGACATACAATTACGTTAATTAGCATTTACACAAACTTACGGCTGTCGAGGAGCCACTAGGCAGAAGAGCAGCTAGGATCAGCTTCAAATGACTGCCCAGGTCCACGTATGAGTAACATAGGAGCAAAAGCTACACAACATCTTCCATAAAAGCGGGAATCAAATAAGATAATTCAATGACCAGAAGTGCAACATTAAGAACATTCAGATAGAACATAGGGATACGTCAGGCTAGTAGAGGATTTCCAGGAATAGATGGGTTTTAAGGTGTTTCTTGAAGGTAAAGAGGGAATCAGATGGCTGGATGTGGTTCAGCAGCTCATTCCACCATCAGAGAACACATGAAAAATGTCTGGAGTAACACTTCTCGCGTGGTGGAGGAGTTTCCAAGTTGCACTGGCTTTCTGACCAAAGAGGGCGAAATGGGATGTAGGTCTTAAGGAAGTTCTTGATGGAGATGGGTGCCTGTCCTTTAATGGATCTGAAAGCAGCACCAAGGACTTGAACTTGATGTGAGCACCTATAGGGAACCAATGGAGAGAGACAGGGAGGGGGGCTTTGAGCTGATTGAAAACCAGCCATGCTGCTGCATTTTAAATCATCTGCAGCGGCCTGACAGCACAAGCTGGTAAACTTGCTAGTAGAGAGTTGCAGTAGTCTAGTCGCAAGGTAACGAGCGCCTGAACTAGAAGCTGAGCTGCATACTCAGACAGAAAAGGCCAGATCTTCCTGGTGTCATACAGGGGAAATCTACAAGATTGGGGAGAGCATTGTTACAGTATGTGCTCAGCAAAGGACAGCTGGTTGTCTGTCATTACCCCATGGTTCCTGGCAGTAGGATTTTAGAGAGCTTCTGTCCATTCAGGTTCCAACCACTTACCTTGCTGTGGAAGCAGAGGATCAGAGCCTATCCCAGGACAGGGGATTTCAGTTCATCACAGGGCACACGCACACACAAATGTCTAACTGCATGTCTTTATAATGCAGAAGTATTCCCACACGATATGGAAAGAACGTGCAAACTCCACACCCAGTGCGGAGGCAGGATTCATGCCACAAACTTGGAGATGTGAATCAACAGTGCTACCCACTGGGCCACCATGGTGCCCCGAGAGAGTTTCTAAGTTATGCAATTCAATTCATCTGTTAGATAAATTACATGCATAATTTATGTACGTGGTGTCATTTATTCAATTACTATAAAATCATTTGGATGGTGATTTTTTTTTTGACAGTGTTTGGGGTTACTGAACAAAATCCAGTTCACTATGCCAGCTCAGCTGAGGATTTAAGTGTCTGGTCCTAAGGGCACAATGAGTCTGCAAGTCACAGTTGCCCAGGATATTTCCCTGCCCCCTTTGTGGACCATTAACGGGAAATGGGGGGCACATTAAAGGAAGTGCCAAGACCTTTAGTTACCCATCCATTAGTACTGGAATGCCAGCGAATACTTATCGTTCAGAAGACTATGAAAAGAAAGTGAACATGCTGTAGATCAATGAAGCACAAGCTTTAATATTGTTAGTCGATGGGACACCATGAGTTTTTAATTTAGTAATTATTCTTAATTATTATTTCTATTAATTCAGATGACTACTTTGCGACTGTCTTCATGAAATAAATTTTATAAAAAATACTTTTCATCACTACAAGCAGTTATATATACCTATGATGTTTCAGGGTCAGACCCACATTGTCTTGTCATGACTTGAAGAATGAATGACTCGAGGGCAGGAGTTTTGGTGAAACACAAGGGGGTTTATTGAACTCAAAGAACTGGGACGGTAAACAAACTGGATCACAAATGATCAAAACAGGAGGAATAGAGTAAGGAAGGGCTCATGCAACGGGAAGGTTAATGTCAATGATTGGACTGGGGAACAAAGGACTGGGAAGCACATATAT